CTGTAGCAGAAAAGTTGATTTTTTCACGTTCATAAACATTTGTTACAAGGGTAGTTTTTCCAAGTCCACCCATGCCTGATACTGTTATGACTGTGCTATCAGGCTCATCAGAATACAGCCATCCGATGAGCATTCTCCTGTTATCTTCAATCCCCACAAGATCTTCATCTTTAATGAGCAGTGGGAAGTTATCATGGGAACGTCGTCTTTCCATCTCAATTAGCTGATCAGCAACAACCTGTGAAGGCTGAAACCACAGCTCTTTTAGTTCCATAACTTTCTTGATCTCCTTCTCAATCTTGATCACCTCTTCTGCTATTTGAGTAAAAACCAAGACATAATGTGATGCTTTAATGAAGTACTTCTTCAGGAACCATTCTTCCTCCATTTGAACTGTGTGATATGTGTACTTGTCCATTACATCCTCAACATGGTAGGCTACCTTTCGCACTTCCCCAATCCAACCTCTAACGACATCATCAGTGAGGTATACTGTGCCAATCTTTCGTATAACATTGTTCATGGTTGTCAGCTGCATTCTTATTAACTCGATCTTGTCATTCAGATCCCTCAAATTATTAACCTTTTCAGATAATTTGGCCAGCATTTTCTTGGCAGTTTCATCTGCTAAAACACTACCAATCTTCGTGAGAGCAAGGAGTACTGCTTCTGCCATTTCTGCTGAACAAAATAACAAAAACAAATCCTGTTACAGAACATAATGATGAATATCATTGAAATGTACATGTTTGAGTTTGAATTGCATGTCCGGACAGCAATTTCTTCTATGGAGTCATAAGCATAACTGCCAGTTTTACTGGATAATTTGTGGCTTCTTTGATATTTAATTCTAATAGTTAATGCATGACTGTGTAACTTTTTTTTTTTAACAAAAATGCTACGCTTGATGATGCTGAAGAGAACCATACCATCAACAGAGTGCACTGTGTTAGTACAACAGAAAATAGATGAGTGGACTTCATTGCCTGAGATCTAATAGGTGATAGTAAGTGGCTAATGGAGTTCTCTAATGTAGCCTTTAAAGTAGAACCATTTTACTCAAAATCATAACAGACTAACTACGAATGATACAACGAGTTTAGCACAATCAGCCTTAATGTTGTCAATATATTGTAGCACAAAAAAGTTCAGACCAAATTATCTCTGAGAAACAAAATGATATAACAGTCAGGCAACACAAAAAATGTTCAGACCAAATTATCTCTGAGAAAAAAAAATGAAATAACAGTCAGGCAAGCACTAAAAAGATGGACAAAAGTATCATGGTTGCACCATGCAGCACATTCAGCTTTTGTGTCATCATGTAGGACATATATCTTTGTACCTAATGCAATCAGGATAGTATAGCTTGCAAGCTCAAACCTGATGGCAAATGCAGTGACAAGCTGGCCAAGAAAACCTAGTGCACAGTTAAAAATTCAAATGCAGTGACAAGTTGGCCAAGAAGACCTATTGCACAGTTATAATGTTTATTTACAGAAGAATTCAAAGGATTGTTAACAACTCTTTAAATATGGGAAATGTATGTGCAGACTAGTTTGGTGGAATTGCCAAACTGCTAACTGTCAAGAAAGTGAAACTGTAAACTACACAGGTAGGATATGCTATGATATTGAGAAAAAGCATGGGTGACAATGATGTGATATCCCCAGCATAGTTAAGTCCTTTTTTTCCTGGGACCAGGTATCCCCTGCATAGTTAAGTAAGTCTTTTATGTGGTTGGATAGAAAAAGTAGTTTCTGGTGGTACAGTGAGTATTAAGATGAATAATACAATTGGGCCTTATATCAAAAGTTATAAGGGTGTCACGCAGGTACAAACAAAGGCTGCTTCCCCACGTCCGCCCCAAGCGGAGCGACTCGGGTGGCTCTCAGACCCACCACCGCCCTCCCACTCCTCTCCTCTCCTGCCGCGCCGCCGCCGAAGCCGGCCACCGGCATGGCAGTCCGGCTAGCCGGGATCGTGGCAACGGGGCTCTCCATCCCTCGTGTTGGCAGCGTGCGCTAGCGGGCCGACAGTCCACCCCCCGCGCGGGCTGCGTGGAGTTCGGAGGGGGATTTTTCACTTTTACCATTATTACGGATGGCGCTTTCCGGTTTGGCACTCTTAGGGCTGATCTTTCAAGTTCATCACTCTTAAGATTGGTCTCTTGCCGTTTTACCACTTTTTCCGACGTGGCAGTCCAGACCGCCCTGACACGCTGGATCCGTGGCCGGGCCCACACAGGAAAAGACGACGCTGCCCCTGCCCTGGTTTCACTTGGCCAGAACGGGCCGGCCAGGCTGCTCGGCCCACTCATTCTCTCCTCGCCTCGCCCCTTCTCCCCCAGCGCGTGAGCCGCCGCCGCCGCCATCGTCTTCTTCCTCCGCCCGCTGCCGGCTGCCTCGCTTCCCAGCAACGGCGACCTGGTACCATTGTCCTTGGTGGCCTCCGGTTCAACCCGCCCCGACGGATCAAGGTATGTGCCCTTACTCTTCTTTGCCACCCCGGCACCGCGTGGTTAAGGTCGCTGACCTCGTCTTCCTCGTAGGCCTTTGATGTAGTACGTCGTCATCTCCCCCCGTCCGCAATGGCCGATTCTGACTGCCCTCCTTGGTATGCACTGGCACTCCCGTCCCCGTCCATCGTAGGCCTTTGAATGTATTTGCTTATCTGTTTTGATTGTTTATCATGATGCTAGGATCGATCCTGGCAGTGCGTTTAGGCTAGTTGTTAAGGTTTCTCGATATGTTGCTGATGGCGAATATGGGCTAGTGGACATGTCAGAGCAGCACCATCACATCTGGTTTGATAGGGACAGTTCTTACTCTCTGGCTCAGTTCCATGAGGATTTAAGCTCAAAGATCATTTGGGGGCCTCTTCAAACACTTTCAGTGTGGGTTGTAGATCAGGATACTGGCTCTGAGTGGCGACTTAGGAGGGATGAGCATGTGCAGCAAATGGTCAAGGATAGATGGGCTGACAGATTGGCTTTTCTTAATGTGGAAGTTGTGAACAAAAATCTGTGCAATGACAATGATAGCTCTGCTGCATCTAAGGGAGGTAGGTGTGTCTCTGGTGTGACTAGTGGCAATGAACCAAACACAGAACCTGTAGATGTTGAGGGTTTTGGTGATACCTGCAGCACCCCAACTCCTCCTCCTGAAGTGCCAGTAGCAATTGATTGGACTACTCTAGTCATACAAGAGAAGCCTGATGATGATGGTACTGCTACACAGCTTGTTGATGAGGAACAGATATATGAGGCTATGGGGTTCCAGCAGGCTGAGGCAACACAAGAACAAGGTGGTACAGAAGAGGTACCAATTCCAGCAATCCCTCCTGAAGTGCAGCAAGAAATGAATGAAGCTGCTGTGGATGTTGATGATACAGCTGATGAGGAGCCTTTGTATGAATGGGACAGGGACAATCCTGATATGAGTGTTGGCATTTGCTATCCTAATATTGATGAATTGAGGCTAGCTGTTAGGCAACATGCTATAAAAAAAGAGTTTGAGCTGCAAACTGAACACTCAGATAGAGATAGATACAGGGTTAGATGTGGTGCTCGTGGCTGTCCATGGAGACTTGTGGGTAAAACCCAGCATGATGGAAGTTGCAGGGTACATTTTCTGCAGTGACTTGCTTACTGATATGGTTATTATTGCTGGTTTCTTACTGATCTTAGTTCATTATGGTCTGTCCAACAGTTCCTAACTATAATGTACCATGTTTTCTATTTTTTGCAGATTCAAATAAATACTGGGGGGCACAAGTGTGCATCTACAACAAGGGTTGAGGACATAACAATGGCCAATATCAAATGGGTAGCAGAAAGGGCAGTTCAATTCTTAAAGAAGAAGCCAGGAATGGGGGCTACAGAAATGAAGAAAGAGTTGAAGTTCAAGTATGGGATTGATGTCAACTACCACACAGTGTACAAAGGGACAAAGAGAGCATCTGACAAGTTATTTGGTAAGATCAGTGATTCTTTTGATTGGTTGTATAGGTTTAAGGCTGAAATTGAATTGAGATCACCTGGTAGTGTGGTAGAGATAGACACTACAACTGATGAAGAAGGCAAAGTTAGGTTCAGTAGATTTTTCTGTGCATTCAAAGCATGTATAGATGGATTTGTGAATGGCTGCAGGCCTTATATTAGTATGGACTCAACAGCCTTGAATGGCATGTGGAATGGCCACATGCCAGCAGCCTTAGCTTTAGATGGACACAATTGGATGTTTCCTCTTGCATTTGGGTTCTTTGAATCAGAAACAAAGGACAATTGGGTTTGGTTCATGCAACAACTTAGAAAAGCAATTGGACCAATGGATCCTCTAGCCATCTGTACAGATGCATGCAAGGGGTTAGAGTCTGCTGTAAAGCTGGTTTTTCCTCAAGCAGAGATGAGAGAGTGTTTCAGGCATTTAATGGAGAACATGAAGAAGTACTATAGTGGTGATGTATATGGCAAGAACATGTGGCCTGCAGCTAGAGCATACTCTCCACACAAGCACAAGTATTTTTTTGACAAGGTGTTGGCAGCAAGCCAAGGAGTGCAGAAGTGGTTGGATGAGCACCATCCATTTCTTTGGGCAAGAAGTAAGTTTTCACCTGACATCAAGTGTGACTACATAAACAACAATCTAGCTGAAAGTTGGAATTCTTGGATCAAGGAGCATAAGGACCTGCCTCTGCATTGCATGGCAGATGCTATAAGGGAGAAGATAATGGTGTTGTTTGGCAAAAGAAGGAAGATTTCTCTAGCCTTGCCTCAGGGTATATTACCTGCTGTCATTCTTCAGCTGAATGCTGCCTCTAGGGGACTGGGACACATGAACATTACAAAAGGTCACCCAACTGAAGCTGAAGTGACAGAGGTTTACAAAGATGAAGATGTAAGGAGACATGTTGTATACTTACCTCAGAAAATTTGCACTTGTAGGCAGTGGCAGCTAACTGGTAAACCATGTCCACATGCACTGACTGTAATTACAAGCATGAGGCAGCCTGACATGGGCTCATATGTGGACAATTGCTACTCAGTGGCTAAGTTCCAAGCAGCTTATGCTGGAATAATACCAAGCATAACTGATAGGAATCAGTGGCCTGAAGATAAGAAGGGCTACAAAGTGCATGCTCCAGTACAGAAAGAGAAGAAGAAAAAGCCTGGAAGGTTGAGGATAAATAGGATTAAACCAGCAAGTGAGACAGGAGGCAGAGCTACTAGGCAAGTGCAGTGCCCAAACTGTAAGGAGTATGGTCACAGGGCTACTAGCTCCAAGTGTCCCCTCAATGGGACTAAGAAAAGGTGCCCTCTCACTGTAAGATGTAACATGCATTAACCTTTTATTTTCTGTCTAAACTAACAAGTGCTTATTAACTTATGCAGGAAAAGAACTAAGAAGAAGATTGCCAAGGTTGGGAGGAAGAAGACCAAGACAAGTGCAGATGGTGATGATGCACCCACTCCAAGGACAAGGGGAGCACTGGCTAGGGAGGCAGCAGAAAGAGCAAGGAGGGATGCAGAAGAAGCTGAACTACTTGCAGCAGCAGCAAGGGAAAAGGCAGAAGCAGCAGCTAGGGAATTAGCTGAGGCTACTACAAATGAATATGAAGCAGCATTTGAAGAAGAAGCAGGGCTGTCACTGATCCCTTTAGCCACTGTTGCCCCAGATCCATCTATAGCTGCAGCAACAGCAAGAAGGTGATCATGCAATCTTGTTTAGGCTACTGGATTGGAACTATTCCTGACCATAAATCTTACTGTGAGTTTTGTTCCATGACAGGGCACTTTTCCTAGAAGAAGAGCTACATGCTGGACCTGTGAAGAAAATGACACCCAAAAAGAAGAAGTTGGCAACCAAAGCGAAGAAAACTCTACCAGCTAAGAAGAAAGGAGGCAATTGGAATGGCAAGGGCAAGGGCAGGGCCAAGTGACCAATCCTGTTATTTTGAACTTTGTGTGAAGTACTTTGTCATGTAATCTGTGTTATGGGCACAAAATTGATAGCATTTGGCCCTATTTGGATGTGAAAAACATCAAAATCATGAACTTATGTAATGGCTCTTAGTTAGCCACTATCTAATGCCAGGATCATGAACTTATGTAATGCCTATGTGCATTATTGCTCTAGTCTGTTTATTTGTTGTTGTTTCAATGATCCTTGACTGTCATTCATAATATGCTAATTTTGCCATCTCCAAATTGTTGCTGTCATTAACCAAGAACAATCACAAAATGATAAAGGACTGCAACTGATCATTCACATATTATGAATGAGTGGGCCGAGCAGCCTGGCCGGCCCGTTCTGGCCAAGTGAAACCAGGGCAGGGGCAGCGTCGTCTTTTCCTGTGTGGGCCCGGCCACGGATCCAGCGTGTCAGGGCGGTCTGGACTGCCACGTCGGAAAAAGTGGTAAAACGGCAAGAGGCCAATCTTAAGAGTGATGGACTTGAAAGACCAGCCCTAAGAGTGCCAAACCGGAAAGCGCCATCCGTAATAATGGTAAAAGTGAAAAATCCCCAGTTCGGAGGGGGTGTTGCCATGCTGACTCTGATGGCGTCGACGGTGCTGCGGCGGCGTGGGGATGGCGGCGGCTTCTTCTTCTCCCCGCTTGTCCCTCCTCCATTTCTTTGACGATGGCGGCACGCCCGGCCCGGCCACAGGTCCGGTGCCCGACGGCCGAATCTGGACCCTAAGCGGCGGGCGGCTTGCCGACCGATGTTGGGTGCAGTGGCGGCAGGCGGCGGTGGCCGGGGCTCTTGTAGGCGTTGGGGTGCGGCGCTATCTCCTCTGCATGCCTCTCCCCTCATGGCCTTGGTTGTTCTTGGCGGCGACCGACCAGGCTGCTACTGCGCGGCGGGCCTCTTTTTGGGGCTAGGCCCCGGGGTGGGGCATCTGCGCAGCTAGCTCGCACGCGCGGCGGCCGGTGCAGCTTTACAGGCGGCAGCTAGGGGCGATGGGTCTGGCGGTGCTGCGTTACGCTCAAGACAGACGGTGGCATCGGCGGGGCGCCTAGTTCGGGCACTGCGTCCGGATCCGCGATTGCTAGGGCGGGCGACACCCGAGATGGTGGTGGCAAACATCCTATGGCTGCTGGCGGCGATTTCAGCAACGACATCGGCGAGTGCTAGAGCTGACGACGTTAGTCAATGGCGGCCTCGGACGGAGGGGGTGGCGGCCCACATGGTTGTGCGGCTGCTGCGTGCAGCCGGCGCATCGATGCCCCTCTGAAAGGGCTCCCGTGGGGCGATGAGACAGCGGCGATGGTAGTGAAAGCTGGCAGGGGGTCCGGCCTCGGGACCCAGCGTTTCGTGCTAGAGGGTTCATGGGCGAAAGCCTTGGCAACGGCGACGCCGTTGGGCGCCGCTTCCCTGTTCAAGGAGTCGCGTTTAACCTTCTAGCATGTCATCCAAGGATGAAAGTCCTGTCCACTTTGGATGTGCGATGGCGGCGCAATCGGCGTCGCTCTCTTCCTGAAGGCGTCGCATTTGGATTATCGTCGCGGCTTCGATGTGAGGCGAGGGTTCGCATTTGGAAGTCGGAGCTGCTCTTCGATGTTCGAGCTTGGCAACGATGACCTGTGGCAGCCATTAGCTACAGACACATCGGGAGGTGACTAGTGGGTGGCCTGCCATGCGAAGTCAGAGCAGCTGGCAGCTTGGCTTCCATGCTCGGCAACGATGACCCATGACAGTGTGTTGTGTTTGTGCTCAACCGCGTCGCGTGGGGTGGTTAGCCCCTCCGGTGCCTTTTGGCATCTTGTTTGGCTAACCTTCTTGTACATAATATTCTTTCATCTTAATTGAGCAGCAGAGCTTCTGCCTTTGTTTCAAAAAAAAGGGTATCAGGCAAGGGGACCCATTATCCCCAATTTTGTTCAACTTTGTTGCTGATTGCTTAACAAAAATGGTGGAAAATGGCCAAGGTAATGGTCCTTTTACTGGTTAGTGGATCATATTATCCCTAATGGAGTTGGCTATTCTTCAAATATGCGGACTATACTATCATTTTTTATGAAACATGTATTGAAGGAGCAAGAAACATGAAGCTGTTGCTATACATGTCTGAAATGATGGCTGGCTCACCCTGTGGTGCTTGGCTGGAGCTTCTAAGCTCAAAGAGCTGCTTGCCAGGTCGCTTGTAGCACCATCTTAGGTTTGGTGCTCTATGGTCAGGTCTTTCCTTGTTTTGGGTGTGTAGTGTTTTGTAAGTGTGGGGGTGTGTTTGGTACTTAGTCTGGGGGCTCTCCCCCTCTCTATTGTACTTTCTTTTCTATCTTAATGAAATGACTCGCAGCTCTCCTGCGTAGTTCGAGAAAAAAAAAAGTAAAAGTGAAGTTGTGGTGATTAATGATGACAATAGCAGGGGCTCAATTTATGCTGCCAAATTGGCAAGTTCCAAGTCAAATATCTGGGGGTACCAGTTAGCCCTAGCAGACTGCATTTAAGTGATTGGGTACCCCAGGTTGACAAAAGTAATAAGAGACTAGCATTTGGAAAGGGGGAACTATGTCGATCCCTAGCACAGGACTCTAATATATGCTAGTCTTAGGCCAATGTTTGGTTGGGCTTTTGGCTGTGGCTTTTGCCCCCAAAAGCCAAAAGCTCAACCAAACGGCTCAAAAGCCACGTGTTTTTCTCCAAAAACAGCTTTTCCCCGTAGTATAAATTCAAAAGCACCTGGATCCCTGCTTTCACTGGCTTTTGGGACAAAAAAATTACCCACCTGCCACTGGTTATGAAAGGTAACGGTTCGTTCTTTCTTCACTTTTCTTCCTCTTCTCGTACCGCATCGGGCGAACCTTGCTACCCATCTCCAGCTGCGCGAGCCATCCCCGGCGGCGGCGACCCCTCCATCTCCGGCGAGCAGCCCCTCCCTCTCCCTCTCCGACCGGTGCAGTCGTGCGGACGCGACCCATCCCTGGCAGCGCAGCCCATCCCCGGCGGCGTGCAGCCCATCCTTAGCGGCATGGGGCCTGCCCAGTGGTGCACGAGCCATCTCCGGCAGTGGCAGCCCCACCCTCTTCGGCGAGTAGCCTCTCCCTCTCCCTCTCCAACCAGTGCAATCACGCGGACGCGACCCATCCCCGGCGGCGCAAGCCCATACCCGGCGGCGCGCAGCTCATCCCTGGCGGCGCGGGGCCTGCCTAGCGGCGCGCGAGACATCTCCGGCGGCGGCGGCCCCACCCTCTCCAGCGAGCAGCCCCTCCCCGACCGGTCCAGTCACACGTTTCTTCCTCTGCCCTGTCACGGCGGCATGCGCAGCCTTGCGATGCGAGAGGAGGAAGAACAGGATGTGAGGATGACACGTGGGGCTCACTTGTAAGCGACAGCAGTTTCTACAGAAGCCACAGCTGCTCAACCAAAGGGCTTTTGGCTTTTGTCACAGCCCACATCTCACAGCAGCTTTTCCCAAAGCCACAGCCCACAACAGCTTTTCTGAAAGTCACAGCTCAACCAAACAGGGCCTTAACAATTCTCCTATATATCATATGTTTGTGTACTCGTTACCTAAGACGACTGTCAAAAAGCTTGATAAAATCAGGGCGACATTCTTTTGGCAAGGTGGTGGTACTAAAAGAAAGTATCACCTAGTCAAATGGACTAAGATATGTAAGATCAAGAAAAAAGGGTCTGGGCATTAAGGACCTAAAGAAGATGAAGAGTAGCTTGCTATGTAAATGGTGGTGGAAATTAGAGCAGGAAGAAGGGTTATGGCAAGAATTATTAAACCAAATATCTTCAAAATAAATCCATTTTCTCTATGAATCACATAGACGCGATGACTCTCCTATTTGGTATGATCTTCTCCAGGTGAGAACTATATATACCTTCAAGGAAGAAGTATTAAGATTAGTAATTGTGTGAACACTAGAATTTGGATAGACTCGTGGTTATATGATAAACTTTTATGCACAATTGCCCCAATTATTTTCATTCTGTGTGAACAAAAAAGGAAGTGAGTGTTGCAAAAGTGAAAAATGGGGAGGTGCAGCTTAAGTTTAGGAGATGGTTGACAGATGACTTTCTGCTGGGACAAAATTTGGGCTGATGTGGAGAAGTTTCAGCTTCAGGAGGGCCCTGATATCATAACTTTGAGGCTTGACAAAAACCAACGTTTTTCGGTTAAATCCTTGTATAATGGGCTAACTAAGAATGATGCTGGCCCATTTTTTAAATAAATATGGAGGGGAAAAGTTCCTGCCAAGATTAAATTTTTTATGTGGCTTATGAAAAATGGAGCCATCTTAACAAAAGATAATTTGATCAAGGGGAATTGGATGGGCAATCCTATGTGTCACTTCTGTGATCAGGAGTCTATGGAACATTTATTCTTCACTTGTCCAATAGCGAAAGTAATATGGGCAGTGATTGAAAAGTGTTTTGGGGCGACTAATGTTCCCAGGAACTTAATGCAATGCTGGAAATGGTGTGACATTTGGCTGCCTCAGGGCAAAAAATGCCACATGTGGGGGTGGCTGCTATATGCTGGGCCATATGGAAGACAAGAAACAAAGTGTGCTTTGATGGGAAAAAGTTTCAGAACTCTATTGAGATAATTTGCTATGCTTGCACTGTTATGCGCTATTGGACAGGTTTATATGCAGAGGTGGACAGGGAGATGCTCATAAACGGCGTCAACACCATGCTGCGGGTGGCTACGGAGATTCTGACATCCAAGCGCAAGAATACTGGCAGAATGGAGCAGCTGGAAAGAGATCGTCAATAGAATGATGATTGGAAAGCGTAGGTTGAAGGAGGGAAGAGCTGTGTGGACAGTGGACTTCTTTGCAGTTAATCTGTAATAACTTTGTGGTGGTTGTTCTGGGCCTGTGCGGCCTGCAGCAGTCTTTTTGAGTTTTTGTCTGTTGTTAGGAGTTTTATCTGGTAAGGATCAGTCTAGTTTTCTGGATGCTACCTGGCTCTGAGACAGAC